ATAGTATGGATGTGAGAAATCAAGAAGTGCCTTCCAAGGGAGGAGCTTGAGATGAGATGAGATGAAATGAGGGAGGAATGAAATTCAAAACTAGCTAAACCTTTACAAGAAAATACAATCTTCTTCCCAACAACTTTCTGTCATTATTATTTACGTTTTACGTAAAGGATCCTTTGAATGTCCCAGTGCTTGGCATTTTGAATTTCTAAGTGGAATGGTTCAATCATTACCAGAATCTCTCACCCAACCTATTCTCTGGCTTCTTGGATCTTAATCCCCGTGGTCTAGACTGAGGTCCAGATAAAGTAGCCAATTAAGGTTGACTGTTTCCCTGCTTTGTGGTTTTTCTAGTTCTAAAACCTCCCTCCCAACTGCCAGCCTTCTGTAACAATGAGAGAGAGAGAAGCCCTTCAGGCAGGCAACGGGAAGGAGCTTCTCTCTGCTTTGCTCTGAAATGTCCCATAGCAAATGACAGTAGCAGGGAAATGTCTTAATAGAGCGTGTTGTTTAGCATAATTGATGTTCAGATGCGCGTTGGTAGAAACAAGCCCAGTTAATTGGTCTCTCAACCTACATTAACTGTTGCATTGCAGCCAATTAGGCAGGGGTCCCTGCTCGGTCATTAGAGTCCTGCATGCTGAGGCAGGGAAGAGCAGCACTCAGGGAGCAGAGCTGGCATGAACGGCTTTGATGAGGCATGTGTGCAGCTGCACCATGGCCGGAGCCATCTGTCCATTTAGGAGTGTGAGACCCTCAACGACCAATCTTAAAGGTGACAAAAGGAAGGTGACATTCAAGAGAGGGAAATCTGGGCACTCCCCAAGGGGTGAAGTGCTAGAGGAAACTTTGAAGATCATAGATTTGAAGAACATTGCCCTACAGTAATATTTTTAATGAACGAAGAGCCTGTCTGTATTATCTGAGCCTTGATGTTACAAGGAATGCTCTGGGTATAAAAAGAGAGGACCAGGCTGGGCACAGTGGCTCATACCTGTAATCCCAGGACTTTGGGAAGCTGAGGTGGGAGGATCACCTGAGGTGAGGAGTTCGAGACCAGCCTGACCAACATGAAGAAAACCCGTCTCTACTAAAAATACAAAATTAACTGGGCATGGTGGTGCATGCCTGAAATCCCAGCTACTGGGGAGGCTGAGGCAGGAAAATCATTTGAACCTGGGAAGTGGAGGTTGTGGTGAGCCGAGATCGTGCCATTGCACTCCAGCCTGGGCAACAAGAGTGAAACTCTGTCTCAAAAAAAAAAAAAAAAAAAAAAGCAAGTATCTATTTTAAGGAGATATTCTATAGCCTTGCTTCTCAGAGCCAGGTCTGCAGATCAGTGGCACCACCATCATCTAGCAATGTCGTGGGTAGGCAAGCCTCAGGCTCACTCCTGACCTGCTGAATAGGAACTACAGTTTAACAGGATCTCCAGGTGTTTCATATGCCCATTAAAATCTGAGAAGCAGTGCTCTAGGCCCAGGGTCAGCAAACATTTTTTATTAGCATGCAGCCACGTCCATTCCCTTACCCATTTCTCATGGCTGCTTCCACATTTCCATAGCGGAGCAGAGAGGTTGCAACAGAGACCTAATGGCCCACAGCCTAAAATATTTACTCTCTGGCCCTGTTTTACAAAGAGACTTTGCCAATTCCTACTCTAGGCCACACTGGCCGGATGGCAGAAATCTCTATAACGAACACATGTGACAAACATGTCTGTTCCTCCTCAGAAGGCAGGCTAATCCAAGATATTTAATTTATTGTTTAAACATAGTCATGGGGCCCTGCGTGGTGGCTCATGCCTGTAATCCTAGCACTCTGGGAGGTCGAGTGGTTGGATCATTTAAGGTCAGGAGTTTGAGATGAGCCAGACCAACACCCTGAAACCCCATCTCTACCAAAAATACAAAAATTAGCAAGAAATCGCTTGAACCTGAGAGGGGGAGGTTGCAGTAAGCTGAGATTGTGCCACTGCACTCCAGTTTGTGCCACGGCAACAGAGAGAGAGTCTCCAAAAATAAAAATAAAAACATAGTCATAGCTGTGTTGTGTTGAACCCCTGTTAGCCTCAGTAAGGAAGACACCAGGTTTGAGAGGCTGAAGAAGAGACTCAGAGCAAGCAAATGAGACACGGAGCTTTATTGGGGGTTTATATACAGGGGAACGAGTCCAGTGGTGGCAGGATCTACCTTCTGCAGTCCAGGGACAGCAGGCTGGGCAGGAAAACCACAGTCACCTGCAAACATCATGCAGCTTCTACGGCATTTTCACTTCACACCCTCTGCCCAAAGGCTCTACCTGGCAATCTTTATTTAAGGCAAAACTGAGAACCTCAATTGCCTGTATGACTGTGTTCCACAGGACAGGCTTAGAGCTCAGATGCTTATCATAAATAAGGAACAAATCTCTGGGTTGGCCACGCCCAGATTCCCTAGCTTGGAACACACATTCGGGTGCATCTGCCCTACAGGGTCATTTTAAGGGTTTGCTCAAATCATCGCTAGCAAGTACATTTACCTTATGGGATCCTATGAACATGTAGAGGGATGGATGTTAGGTAATAATAACCATGATTTCTAGAGCGTCGGAAGTTCAGCAAAAGTTGGCAACAACTTTGAACTTCCTGCTACCACGACTGAGTCAAATGGTTTTCAGAATTCTTTCCTCCCTCCTTCACAAAGAGAATAAAGAAAAAGTGATAAACTGAAACTAGTAATAAAACAATCACCATTTTTCTATATTGTATTCTTGAGACCACATTTATTGTGACTACCAGGATTGGCACTTTTCCCAAATTTATCGAGAGGTGGCTTTGACTTTATTGTTAGAGTTTGGGGATAATTTTACACCCAATGAAGTCCCCAAAGAGACTATTTTCTTCCATGTTGTTTTTCAGCAGTGTGAAACGTTACAGAGACATGGACTCTTTCAATGTTTGAGGCAGGTGTGGTGGCACACACCTGTAGTCCCAGCTACTCTGGGGGCTGAGGCATGGGAATCCCTTGAACCCAAATTCTAGTCTGTAGCGTGCAAGGATTGTGCCTGTGAATAGTCACTGCACTCCAGCCTGGGCAACATGCAAGACCCCATCTTTAAAAAAAATAGGCTTGGCTACCCTGCTTTATATACAGCAAAAGAATTGCTGGAAATACTCCTCAGCGCGTCTGCCTATAAAGAGAGCTAGACTCCACAATGACCAATGGCGAGGAAGAGGGCTACCAAACCAGCATTTCTGAAATGGCTGAAATATTGTGATAGGAAATTCTGGCTCTTCGAGCTTCTAGAAGATATGCATTTATAAGAATATTAAAGAGGCACCTCACTGTTTTCAAAACCCTTGGAGTTTTCCCAAGTTCTTGCTGCCTAAGTCTGTCTCTGTCTCTCAGTCTCACACATGTGCCCACATGCACGCGCGCGCGCGCGCGCGCACACACACACACACACACACACACACACACACACACACACACACACACACACACAGAGCCAACAAAAGCCAGGCTGCAGCCGCAGACTCCAGACGCGTGCATCAATCATAATTGCAGCACCACCGGCAGTCATGTAACTGCTTAAAGACCTCAACAGCCTTCTGGCACTTAAAGGAAAAAAAAAAAGTCTAATTAATCACAGGTGAAACAGCTTGGACTGTCTCCAAAAGCCCCTGAATTTGCTGCCAAGCTTTGATGCTAATTTTCTTTCCAAGTAACCCCCTAATGAAATTTATGATTAGGTAATTAAAGTAATGAATAAAGAGATAATTAGATGGAGGGAAATAAGGAGAGGGAAAAAGTCTGTATTTCCATCCTGCAATAAACATCTCTGGGTATGCATCATTTGTGAACTCCAACTTAAAGGTTCCCAAGTGGCTTTCTTCTGAAGAATATTTTTAAAGTCAATATTTGAAAGACCAAATGAGGCACATAAATGAAGTTAGGAACAGGTCATTCACTAGGGCCTGTTAGGGAGGGAAAGCTGTCTTCTGCCAGGTACTGAACTCTTGACTTAAAAAAAAAAAATTAATGTCATAGCTTGTATCCTCTGGGAAGGTTGGTAGTGGTTTCTCTCTGTGAGCTGATTGGATAACATAACATCACTGGGTTTGATTTAGAGATCTCATCTTCCTCCTATTTCCCATGTCCCTGCTGGGATGGACTCTAGATTTCTGGTTTTAATTGGTTGAAAAGCAATTGCTCCAGTCTTTTGTCCTTAAAATTGGAAACATCCAAGGGAGGGCTTTGGATTTTATTATTCCAGCCCTGATCCTTCCCTCGATCTCTGACACTTACTATTGGAACACTCCAGGAATGGGGAACTTTAGTTGATTGGTTACCTTAGATTACAGAATTGATCAGAAATGCTCATATTTAAATAATTCATCAGACAAGTTTCTTCTAAACACCTAAACACCTAGAGCTTCAATTCCTGCTGAAAAATCTTGGTAGCAACTATTTTTCTGACTTAATAAATACGGCATAATAAGCATAATGCTTTTTTAAATAATTCAGAATCTTGAATTTTTGATTGAAAAGTTCATTGCTCTGATTTATGTGTACCCTTCAGGATCGTTTATAAGCTTCTGCAAGGAGAGATCAAAGCAGGTCCCCATGTTGTCTCTTCCCCCTGTCTAGCAGAGCATGAGTGCCTATTATTTATTACTGCTCAATTGTATTCCAGTTTATGCAAAGAGGGTGTGAGAATTTTTACTAAATAAACACTGACTCAAAGTGTCATAGCCTGAAAATTTAGTTTTTTTCCCACTAAGTTACCCTATGGACGTACGTATTTAGTTTTGTCTCCCTCCTGAAAAGAGAAGTGTGAAATAGTAGATTTAGAATTTTGACTTGGAAGTGAGGTTGGCGATTTTATAGCCTGAATCTTCATTTCTGAGCTGAGGACGAGGAGGCTCAGAGAGGTAAGACGATTTGGCAAAGACACACAGCCACCTAAGGGGTTGTGAAGATCATACACTCTGGAGCCAGATGAGTCTGCATATTCTAAAGCTTCTTCTGCTACTGTGGACCTGGAGAAACTACATACCTTCTGAGTTTCTTTTTCTGACCCATACCATGAAAACAACAATATTGTGAAGATGAAATGAGCTAATATGAGAAAGATGCTTAGCATCGTGACTAGGATGTGATAAACACTAAAAAATACTTTAGCTCTTATTAGTTTTATTTATTCATTATTTATTTTAAAGGATCTTGTATTAAATTACAATTTATGTTTATTTAACAAATTTATTCTCATCATTCACAACCCCTTATGTCATTTACAGTGATGTAAGTGAATTATTTTCATCATTTGCAGTCCAAGGAAGGTGGGGTCTTAGTCAAAAGTGGTCCTTTGGTTGCTTACAGCCAGATGGGTGTAGAAATTCAGGTTTGCAGGAGCTGGACCAGAGCTCAAGTGCTCTGCATAAGAAAAAGCTACCCATTTTCAGGCAGGCACGCTGGCTCACACCTGTAATCCCAACAGTTTGGGAGGCTGAGGGGAGCGGATTACTTGAGGCCAGAAGTTTATCACCTGCCTGGCCAACATGTTGAAACCCTGTCTCTACTAAAAATACAAAAATTAGCCGGGCATGGTGGTGCTCACCTGTAGTCCCAGGTACTCAGCAGGCTGAGGCAGGAGAATCGCTTGAACCTGCGAGGCGAAGGTTGCAGTGAGCTGAGATGGCGCCACTGCACTCCAGCCCGGGGGACAAAACCAGTGAGACTCTGTCTCTGAAAAAAGAAAAGAAAAGAAAAGAAAAGAAAAGAAAAGAAAAGAAAAGAAAAGAAAAGAAAAGAAAAGCTACACGTTTTAGAGGTCTCAAATTCAGAGCTTTGTCTTCTTCCTAAACAATGTAGAACAATAAGAGATTTGAAATTTCTTTTTTTTTTTTTTAAGGAAGTACTTTCTTCGTAATAGCCCTTTATAAGATAGTTAACAATCTAAGCCGTTATCTTTTTTTTTTTTGAGAAAAAAAGATGAAAGAACTTTTTTTTTAAAGGAAAAAAAGAAAGAGAGAAAGAAAGAAGAAAAAAGAAAAAAAAAGAATGAAGGAGAGGACGAAAGGGGAAGAGGAAGAGGGAGAGAGAACGGAAGTGTTGCTTTATTGCCCAGGCTAGAATGCAGTCTAAAAATGGGTATTGAAAACCTCTTTTATGTCAATAATTGTGCATTAATAATGGATACTGGAAAAAAAATGAGGGAAGAAAATAACAAACAAGCAGCCAACCAATATTTCATTTAAACCTATGAGTAGGTGTCATGTGGTACTGATAAGAATGTATATTTTGTGTATTTAAAGTGGAGAGTTCTATAAATGTTTATTTAGTTCACTTGTTCCAGATCTGAGTTCAAGTCCTGGATATCCGTGTTAATTTTCTGGCTCGTTGATCTGTCTAATATTGATGTTGAAGTATCCCACTATTATTGTGTGGGAGTCCAAGTCTCTTTATAAGTCTTATGTATCTGGGTGTTCCTGTATTGAAACTTATTTCTAATTGAGGATTAAAAGATCCTGTCCCCAAATTTCAGAACATGGATAAGACCGCGTGGAAGGTAGAGGCAGGGGTCATTTGAGGATGTGGGTACCTCCCCACTGCTCCTGAATCAGCCCAAGTTGATGGTGGCCACCATCCATGCTGCCTAACCTCTCTGCTCTTCTTCCCAATCCTAAGAGCCTCAGGTCCTGGCTCTCCTCTGAGTCTTTATCTGAAAGGCTAGAGAAGTCAGAGAATCCTGCCAAGTAGGAATTAAAAATGACAAAACAGCCGATTAGATCTGAGGTGACAAGAATGAGAAATAAAAGCCATTACAGCCCATTTACAATGTACCCTCAGTGAGTCAAGTTTCAAGGTGTTCCTCTGAAGATTATTAATGGTGTGACAGTGTTTTCTGGGTGGGAATCTGATACATGAAATAACACCATGTGCACAAGCTGCATTCTCGATAGTAAGAGGGGCCTGCCCTCATTTATTTAGTTTCACATTTTTAAAGAGACACCCTAATTCAGCTGTCAGGGTGAGGGTCAGTGTGAGCACCCAGCACTTGAAGAAACAGATTTCCATGGTAAATAGTTTTCCTGTATAGCAGGGGTCGGCCACCATGGCCCAGGGGCAAACCTGGCCAGTTGCCTAATTTTTGTACAGCCAACGTGCAAACAGTGTTTCTGCACTTTAAAATGGTTGGTACAAAAATCAAAACAAAACTATGTTATGATCCATGGAAATGTTGTGAAATGTGTCAGTGTTTATAAAGCTTTATTGGAATACAGTCTCCCTCGTGTGTTTATGCATTGTCTATGGATGCTTTTGGACCACAACAGCAGAGTCCAGTGGTTGTGACAGAGATGATGGGCCTCGAAAGCTTAAGTTATTTACTATGTGGATCTTTACAGAAAAAGTTTGCCAACCTGCCTTGTGTAGGGTAGCTTGGCCATGTTATAAACATTGCTTTTGCAAAAAGAAAAGTCAGCGCAACGTAGAAAAAAACTAGAAGCGTTTCCTGTAGTAGACTATAGCCTCAGTTTAGAATCACAGCATGGCAATCAGTTTATCCACACTGTCCAGCCAGGGACAAGCCACCTAATCCCAAGAGCAGCAAGTTCCAGGTTTTGTGAGAAGTCACCGGAGTTAGGGTCCTCCAGGTCCCAGGTGGCCATTCAGTCCTAAGGAAAGCCAACAGCTCCGAATGGCGTTGTAAACATCTTATTCCTTCAGAAGTCATCTCAGGCTAGTAATTAGGAATTCTGTGTAGTCGGTTACCTACAAATTATTTGCATTGATAAGGGATAGGTGAGAGCTTCAGAGAAGACATCAGTCCTAATTATTTTCATCTCCAGATCTGCCTCATCATGTATCCCAATTTCATCTCTATGCCTAAACTTGTTTTGCAAGATTTAATAACAATGGGATTTTACTTCTTTCTACATAATTTCCCCCTCCCCACAAAAAACAGCTGTGGCCCTCAACTAGTACTACCAATTGTATCCAAGGTGCTTGTTATCCTAGAGTGACATATTGCTTACAAAGTCACTTTCTGATAAGTTTATTATTCTATTTTTATAAATAGGAGCAATGTGGTAATCCCGAGATGAAGAAAAACATTGCTGTTGTTTGGACAACCCCAGGGGTGAGGATTGACAGGGAAGAACTACACTCACCCTGGATGCCTTCAATGCCAGTCTCCATGAAACCAGTCATGAAAACTCTCCCTCCCCGACATGCTCAGAGAGCATTAGGAGCCAGTGACCGGCGGCTTCTTACCCAGCAGGACAGATGCAGCCACATGTTCACAAACAACACAGAGGAGAAGGTAGTTCAGGTCCAAGAGGAGGGACTCACGACAAACAAGTGGAGAGACCTTCCATGAAAAGGGCACAGTGGATGGCAACTTAACAAAAGAAGGAGAGCTGGAATTGAGTGGTGGAGAGGGGCAGATTGCACCAGTTGGGGGGAAATTATTAAAGATTTTGAAATGAGAAAACTCTTGAACACTGAGCCATTTAACATCTTCATTACAGTGATGGCTTTGTCCAGTAGGGATGCTAGAACAAAATACCTTAGACTGGGTAATATGTAAAGAACAGAAATGTATTTCTGACAGTCCAAGAGGCTGGGAAGTCCAAGATCAAGGTGCTGGCAGATGCAGCGTCTGATGAAGACCCATCTGTCACAGTCAGTGCTTTCCCATAGCATTTTCATTAGGTGGAAGAAGCAGACTTGCCCCCTCAAGCTCTTGTGGAAGGCACCAATTCCATCCATCAATCTGGAACCCTCAGAGCCTAATCATCTCCTAAAGGCCCTGCCTTTTAATCCTATCACATTTGTGGTTAGGTTCAACATAGAAATTTGGCGGGGGACACATTCAAATCATAGCAAGCCAGCTGGTCACAAAGCCAGTCTCTTCATTTTTTAATTGAATGCTCTTTCAAAAAAGTGTGCACAAAGAACCTTTAACCAGCATCTCAATTGCTAGAAGTAGGAAGCATTATAGTGCATGATCTTTCAAACATAAAATGCTACTTGGGTACGCCTATCTTTGGTGAGGTGTAGGAAGAAAAAGTAATTCAAAATCCCAGCAGATTTTGAATCCTGCTTTTTTATAACAGCATGAGACAACGTTTGAGCACTGTCACCCCTTGACTAATGGAACCACAACAGCTTCAGTCTGGGGGCTCCCCTGCAGCATAAATAATCTGTACATTGAATTGTGGAATGCAGCTCAAGGGCCACCAAAAAGAATTCTGAACCAAGTGCAGGAGCAAATCATAGAAGCAACATTTCTTCTCCTTCAGTCTTTAATTGTTCTTTCTCATAGGTCTTTGCGGTATTTTCCCCTATTTTTTATAGTGTAGAATCTCTTATTTATGAATATTGAGGTTCTTTCAATCAAATCTGGAAAAAAGCTTATTTGGGATTGTGAGCTCACAAAGGTATAGATGAGAGGGGAAGTGTGGCGTTAATTTAAATGACTTCAAAGGGTCTTTTTTTTTGGTTTTCTCTAAATGTTTCTCTTCTAAAAATGCATCCCTGAGCTATAAGCAGGTACTCACATCAAACTGGATAGGAATTGTGAGACACTCAAGTTAATGGTCTTGCAAAACAGTAGGTCATAGGGAAATCTGTTAGAAATTGGGTCTGAAAGTGGGAACTGTGACATAATACCCAATTCACAAATAATATCACAATCACTTCAGAGCATCATAAGAAAACAGATATCCTATGAACAAGAGGCTCCATTTCAGCACTGCCCCCTGTGGCCTCCTTCTGGGGGTTGTCAATAGTTAAATTATTGAAGGTTGAAATTTTATATGACCCAAGTCCCTGCCCCAGGTGTCCGTACAGCTTTGCATTTACTATCAAGTTTCTGTCCTTTGGGAAACGCAGAGGACTGTTATTGTCATTGGGTTATGCCCAGTGCTTCAGGGTAAATTTTCTAATAATTGAAACCCCTGCCAGGCCTCCCACCTGGTCATTCAGCTAACAGAAGGGCAGCCTCGCTGGGGAGGTTGGCAGTGAA